TTTGAAATTTTCACCATCACTCACCCCATCGCCCTACCAGAGGTGCATGCTGACATTACAGCTCAGATGCCCCTCTAAACTCTAATATCCTTACCCTTCCTTCAGAGTGCAGGAACCTCCAGGACTAGAGTCTGGCTAACCAGACTATTGTAGCAACCACTAAATTATGAAACATACGTCACTCCATGTATATGCAGAAGTCTATCCAATAAACATTTATTTACTAATACACAGTCTATTGGACTGTTCTCAATGCACCCTGCATCTCATTTTCAAAACCCATTTCTAAACAAAGGCTCCCTGATCCTTACATTTACCCCTGGCACTACAAACTTGCCTACTACACTATCTACAACTGTCACACCCACTTCAGCGTTAACCCTTTCACTGTCCAGGCCCCTGAAATAAAACTGGCTCTCAAATGTATTTAATAAAAAAAAATCCTTTCTAAAGGTAATGACACCAAAAGTATGAAATTTGATGGAAAACTTTCAGTAGTCTCAGTGAAACCGTGGTACTGGCGATTTCACTGACAAGTCCTATTTTAAGCCAATACCATTGTTCAAATTGACCCAATTCTTAGATACTTCACTAGTATGCATTCTATTCTATAAAACACAAGAAACCATCCATTAAATTAATTCAACTACCCTGTAGAGTGCACAGAAGTTGGTAATTTGGCCAATTTTACACAAAATAAAGAAATATCAATTTAAAAATAAAGTGAATAAACAATGTAGACATTCCTGGCACTAAAACATTTCATGTTCATTAGTCACATTCCCAGGCTTCTACTATAGTTCACTTTTTCACTCTGAATGCTTATTCACACAAAAATAGAAAATTTTATTCTCTCAGATAATAAAATAACCAGGAAAGATTAGTCATGGTTTACAGCATCCCAATAATTTAATCAGACCCATTAAAAACCCATAAAACAGACTGAAAGATAAAGAATCACGCATAAAGTGGGAGTTGTCACAGTTGCTCTTTGCTGATGACACTGTGCTCTTGGGAGATTCTGAAGAGAAGTTGCAGAGGTTGGTGGATGAATTTGGTAGGGTATGTAAAAAGAAAATTAAAAGTGAATACAGGAAAGAGTAAGATTATGAGGATAACAAAAAGATTAGGTGATGAAAGATTAGATATCAGATTGGAGGGAGAGAGTATGGAGGTGGTGAATGTATTCAGATATTTGGGAGTGGATGTGTCAGCGGATGGATCTATGAAAGATGAGGCGAATCACAGAATTGATGAGGGGAAAAGGGTGAGCAGTGCACTTAGGAGTCTGTGGAGACAAAACTTTGTATTTGGAGGCAAAGAGGGGAATGTATGAGAGTATAGTTTTACCAACGCTCTTATATGGGTGTGAAGCATGGGTGATGAATTTTGCAGCGAGGAGAAGGCTGGAGGCAGTGGAGATGTCATGTCTGAGGGCAATGTGTGGTGTGAACATAATGCAGAGAATTCGTAGTTTGGAAGTTAGGAGGAGGTGCGGGATTGCCAAAACTGTTGTCCAGAGGGCTGAGGAAGGGTTGTTGAGGTGGTTCGGACATGTAGAGAATGGAGCGAAACAGAATGACATCAAGAGTGTATCAGTCTGAAGCGGAAGGAAGGCGGGGTAGGGGTCGGAGGGAGGGGGTAAAGGAGGTTTTGTGTGCTAGGGGCTTGGACTTCCAGCGGGCATGCGTGAGCGTGGTCGATAGGAGTGAATGGAGACAAATGGTTTTTAATACTTGACGTGCTGTTGGAGTGTGAGCAAAGTAACATTTATGAAGGGATTCAGGGAAACCGGCAGGCCGGACTCGAGTCCTGGAGACGGGAAGTACGTACAGTGTCTGCACTCTGAAGGAGGGGGTGTTAATGTTGCAGTATTATAAACTGTAGTGTAAAGCACCCTTCTGGCAAGACAGTGATGGAGTGAATGATGGTGAAAGCTTTTCTTTTTCGGGCCGCCCTGCCTTGGTGGGAATCGGCCAGTGTTAATAATAAAAAAAACAGACTGCATGAAATTACTGTCCCCCTGTCTTCATCAACATTTAAAAGTTCCTCAAAATATTCCTGCCAACTACCCAATACCTCCAGCTCCCCATCTATTAACTCCCCTAACTCTTAACCTGTTTATCTTACTGTTTTTTTTTATATATTCTCAGCAAAATTTCTTTACAGTGCCTCTCCCATTATCATTTGCTCTCCTTTTGCAGTGTCTCACCACTCTCTTCACCTTTCTTTTACTCTCCGTATACTTTGCCCTTCTTATATCACTTCTGCTTTGTAAAAACCTTGTATGCTACCTTTTTCTCTTATTGCCCCCTTTACCTCACCATTCCATCAATCACTCCTCTTTCCTCCTGTACCCACCCTCCTACAGCCACAAACTTCTGCCCCACTTTCTAATACTGCATTTTTAAAACTATCCCATCCCTCCTCAACCCTCTCACTACCCATACTTTCACTAGCCCACCTTTCTGCCAATAGTTGTTTACATCTCACCCTAACTTCCTCCTCAGTTTATAAACCTTCACCTCTCTTACTTGCTGTTGCCATCTTTTTGTCCCAACTACCTCTTACTCTAACTGTAGCTACAACTATATAATGATCCGATATATTTGTTGCCCTTCTATAAACATGTACATCCTGAAGCCTACCCATCAACCTTTTTATCCACCAATACACAATCTAAAACTCCTTTCATGCACTGGCCATGGAGGTATAACATCTTTTAGGAGTGAAGAAAAGGATGCGAGGGTGGGGCAGGTGCACGAGGCATTACATAGAATGAAAGGGGGTAAAGCAGCTGGAACTGATGGGATTATGACAAATGTTAAAAGCAGGGAAAGATATATAGTGTTGGAGTGGTTGCTATTTTTGTTTAATAAATGTATGAGAGGGGAAGGTACCTAGGGATTGGCAGTGTGTATACTTCCTATATATAAAGGGAAGGGGGACAAAAGATATTGTAAAAATTACAGGGGAATCATTTACCAAGTATACCAGGTAAAGAGTATGGTACGGTTATTATTGAAAGAATTAGAGGTGAGAGAGTAGGATTACATATGAACAAGGGAGCTTTAGAATGGGTAGGGGATGTGTAGATCAAGTGTTTGTATTGAAGCATACATGTAACCAGTATTTAGATAAAGGTAGGGAAGCTTTCATTGCATTTATGGATTTAGAAAAGGCTTATGATAGTGTGAATAGGGGAGCAATGTGGGAGATGTTGCAAGTGTATGGAATAGGTAGCAAGTTATTAAATGCTGTAAAGTTTTTATGAGGATAGTGAGGCTCAGGTTAGGGTATATAGAAGAGGGAGATTACTTCTCAGTAAAAGTAGGTCTTTAACAGGGATGTGTAATGTTTCCATGGTTGTTTAACATTTACAGATGGGGTTGTAAAAGAAGTAAATGCTAGGGTGTTAGGGAGAGGGGTGGGATTAAATTTTGGGGAATCAAATACAAAATGAGAGTTGACACAGTTACTTTTTGCTGACAATACTGTGCATTTGAGGGATTCTAAAGAAAAGTTGCAAAGGTTAGTGGACAAGTTTGGGAGGGTGTGTAAAGGTAGAAAGTTGAAAGTGAACACAAATAAGAGCAAGGCGATGAGGGTATCAAATGATTTGGCTAAAGAGAAATTGGATATCACATTGGAGGAAGGGAGTATGGAAGTGAATGTTTTCAGATATGTGGGAGTCGACTTGTCAGCGGATGGGTTTATGAAGGGTGAGGTTAACCATAGAATTAACGAAGGAAAAAAAGGCAAGTGGTGCGTCGGGGTATCTGTGGAGACAAAGTTATCCATGGAGGCAAAGAAGGGAATATACGAGAGTATAATGGTACCAATGCTCTTATATGGGTGTGAAGCAGGGGTTGCAAATACTGCAGCGAGGAGGTGGCTGGAGGCAGTGATGTCCTGTAAGGGCAACGTGTGGTGTAAATATTATGCAGAGAATTCTTAGTGTGGAAATCAGGAGGAGGCATGGAGTTACTAAAAGTATTAGTCAGAGGGCTGAAGAGGGGACGTTAGGTGGTTTGGTCATTAAGAGAGAATGGAACAAAGTAGAATGACTTGGAGAGGGGAAGGAAGGTGGGGTAAGGGTTGTCCCTGAAAAGGTTGGAGGGAGGGGGTAAAGGAGGTTTTATGAGCAAGGGGCTTGGACTTCCAGCAAGCATGCAAGAGCATGTTAAATAGGAGAATGGAGATGAATGGTTTTTGGGATTTGACGAGCTGTCTGAGTGAGCAAGGTAGTATTTTGTGAAGAGATTCAGGGAAACCAGTTAGCTGAACTCTAGTCCTGGAAATGGGAAGTACAATGCCTGCAATTTAAAGGAGGGTTTGGTATATTGGCAGTTTGGAAATTAAGGCCTCAAGAAGTACAGAAGGATTTTGGTAGACAAATTATAGATTAACATTTTGTTCAAAAAGTTTTGCTGCTCCAGTTCTAATCCTGAAGAGAATCGTGTATGTACTTAACTGAACTACATTTAAGCCCTGAATCATCCAATTTATAAAACAGGAAGTGACTTACAGTTTAAGAGATTCAAACATTGGAAACTCCTCTTTGCTGGGGCCATCAGCATAGCGAGGATCTTCCAGGATCTTGTAGTGTGGGTTGCTCTTGTCCATTGGTGGTGGTGGAATGTCAAAGCTGCGACGCCAAATTTTCACCTGTAGTCATTGCAAATGTAAGTAATATGGTAATGAATAAGGTTAAACATTCTGAAGGTTTGAATCAAAGACACCATTTACAATTTTCAGTTAAAATATTACAGTCTAAGGCAGACTTAAAAAAAAAATCATATAGTTTTTATAAACTTTCCAAAGTCATAGTATTGATTGTGTATATAGTTTACTTTATTCCCTATTTTAGGGATTAAAGAATTCTTTATCCATAAATAAAGTTTGAAGCCCAACCACAAATGCTTTTCATCTTGCCAACTCTGGAATGAATTTAAAGATTCCAAAGGATTTAACTGGGAATTTCATAACCATTCCATTAAATTTTATGAATTTTAAAAGAGCAGTAATTCTCCAATTTACTTTTTTTTTTTTTTTTTTTTTTTTTTTTTAAGGTTATCTTGGGAACAACAACCTTCGTCAAAAGAATCAAGGTAGAAGCGACAACATCATATCTTCAATGTAACTAGCATATTAATATTGCACATTTTATCACAGGATCATCTATGCTTATGAAGAAACCAAGTATTCAGATTAAATAAAACATTACAAAACTTTTCTTTATGGGGAGGGGGGTGTGGATAAATTTACAAACTTAAAAGACGCTAAAACTGAAAAATTTAAATTATAAGGGTACATTTTTGAATTCTAAATGGTAAAGTAGAGCTTTTATATTTTCATAAGCAAATGTGTGAGAAGAACCTGTATGCAGTATAAACACCAAGGATAATTGGAAATTTAAACTTTACATTTCTAGGTCCTGGGTAATTATGAAGTTGTTCAGAACTGACCAAACTGTCTTATACCAAGTTCTAGATTAGCCACAGTATTTACTTATCCTTCGGTAAAGGTAATGCAGCAGAAGCCTCAAACTTAAATATTTCCAAATATTGGAAAAGCTCATCATTTGTTGCACTGATCTGATTAAGGTAATGTACTCAAGACAGTTACTATCAGTCATGGGGCTTCATTTGTGTTCACAAAACCATCCATTACATTAACTTTAAAGCAATATTACAATGTAAAATTTCTGCATCATTTATTGGTACATATACAAATTTTTTTTTTTTTAACACTGACCATCTTCCACTGATGTAGGGTATTACAAAAAAAGTAATTTTTTAAAGATGGTAGTTTTTACTCATTTTGTAATAAAGAGTTCGGGATACATAAATGCACACATTAAAATCAATTAATCTTTAATATAATATAAAAATCAACTATCTTTGGTCTAGAGGAATTTGAACTAATAAACATCTGATAATATATACAGGTTACAATAATAAATTATAATTAGCATTTTACTAAAATGATAAATAATAATTCGTGACCCTACACAGGGTACAACTCTTGACACTACTGTGTCACTATATATATCTATGCTAAAATAATAAATTAAGTAACATTTAAAATAATAAATTACAATCAACTGCGTTTCTCACGACACTTATCCGAGTTGTGAAGCTCTTTCTCCACCGTGTCACTTGACACCCTTTTCTCCGTGTAATACACACTTTCACAACAGTGTCACACTTGACACCCTTGTCTCTGCGTCACACTACCCGCATAGCGTCTTTGTCGAGGCCAGTCACATGACACTATTCAATGTACACTACAACCAGGCCATCTTCAGTGTCGCACGACACCCTTTTCTTCTCAGTGTTCCACTACGGTCCTGTAGCATATCTCAGTGTTCCACTCCATCATACTTGCTTAAGTGTCACACTACGGTCCTAGCCCAGTTCAGTGTAACACTCCAACCTTTTCTTCATGTAATGTCCCACTAAACAGCATCCGATGACTCCGGCCCACAGTTGACCAGCGTAGGCGGCGAGTCCGCAGACATCACCGGTAGTCCTATAAATACTCTCTAAGGCCGGTAGAAGTACACCGTATTATTATTATTATAATCAAAAAGAAGCGCTAAGCCACAAGGGCTAAGTACACCGTAAGAGGGTCTGGCGAGTACTATCTACCGCCTTCAAGACCAGTTGACACCGCAAGGAGGTTCGGTTAATCCTGCTTGCCGAACACCATGCTGCAAGCTCACTGAATGCGGCCGTCAAGTAACTGAGGCCAACAGACTCAGTGAGCTGCGGTGAGCGCTTCTTCTAAAATCAGTAGAAGCCAGTAGAATACTCTACTGCCAGTAGATGTGTACCATTAGATGTTCAGGTACCTACTGCTTCTAAGGCCAGTAGATGTGTACCATTAGGTGTTCAGGTACCTACTGCTTAGATGTGTACCGTGAGATGTTTAGGTACGTACTGCTTCTAAAGCCAGTAGATGTGTACCGTGAGGTGTTCAGGTACCTACTGCTTAGATGCATACCGTGAGGTGTTCAGGCCGGCAGGTTAACTATTTAACCGCTAGTTTGGCAGGGGGCCGCAACATAGGGCAAAAAGAGGAAGAAAAAATAAAGGGGGGGGAGGGGGGGGGAATGGAACACACTGTTCAATGTTTTGCCAGAAGTGCTGACGTCACAGTGCAGATGACCCTTCAAGCAACATCACCCTTCCTTCAGAGTACAGGCACTGTATTTTAGCCTAAAAAAAATTTAAGCACATAACCCAAATTACACAAGAAAATTTTTTTTTTTAACTGGTAGCTTTCCCAGGAATTCGCTTTTTTTTTTTTTTTTTTTTTTTTTTAACAGCAGCTGTTTCCCACCAAGGCAGGATGACCCGAAAAAGAAACTTTAATCATTCACTCCAACACTGCCTTGCCAGAGGTGCACCTACACTACAGTTAAACCAACATATCAACACCCCTCCTTCAGAGTGCAGGCACTATTTCCCACCTCCAGGACTAGTCCAGCTTGCTGGTTCCCCTAAATCCCTTCATAAGTGTTATCTTGCTCGCACTCCAACAGCACATCAAGTCAAAAACCATTTGTCTCCACTTGCTCTTACCTAACACTTGCTGCAAGTCTAATCCACTTGCACACAAAACCTTCTTACCCCTTCCCCTCAATCTTTCCTAGGCTGACCCCTACCCACCTTCCTTCCACAACAGATTTATACGCTCTCCAAATCATTCCATTTCGTTCCATCCTCTAAATTTCCAAACCACTTCAACCCCTCCCCAGCCCTCTGGATAATGCTTTCAGTAATCCCCACACCACCTCCTAATTTACAAACTGAGGATTCTCTGCATTATATTCACACTGAACATTGCCCTCAGACAACATCTCCACTGCCTCCAGCCTTCTTGTTGCAACCTTCACCACCCATGCTTCATACCCATATAGGAGAACTGGTACCATTATACTCTTGTACATTTTCTTCTTTGCTTCCATGGACAATATTCTTCGTCTCCAGACGACTCAGTACACCACTCGCCTTTTCTCCATCAATTCTACGATTCACCTCTTTCACAGACCCATCGGCAACAAGTCCACTCCCAAATATCTGTATACATTCACTTCCTCCATACTCCCTCCCTCCAATCTATTAACCAATCTTTCATTACCCAACTTTTTTGTTATCCTCATCACATTACTCTTTCCTATGCTCACTTTTAATTTCCTTCTTTTACATATCCTACCAAACTAGTCCACCAACCTCTGGAACTACTCTTCAGACTCTCAAGAGCAGGGTAATCAACACAAAGCAACTGACAACTTACACTTTGTGTTAGATTCTTTATCTTCTAATCACACACCAGTTACATGGAATAAATAATCTACATTATCTAAATAAAAAGAAATTTTAAGTTAGTTATTTTTATTATTAAAATGTACCTACCTGCTCTTCTCCATGCTTCTGTGCAGTTTCCGCTTTATTCAGCCCAGTAAGGCCACCATAGTGACGTTCATTGAGTCGCCATGTCTTGTAAACTGGGATGTCTTTCTGATCAATTTCTTCCAGAATGGCATTCAGAGTTTTGTGCGCACGTGTCAGCACAGACGTATGGGCAAGATCGAAGTGGAAGTTTGCCTCCTTCAAAGCCTTCCCTGCAGAATGAGCCTCCTCCACACCTGCTCAAAATTGACCAAGGTTTGGATACATGTTCACTACAAACTGGTAGAGAAATTTCAATAAAGGGAATTTTTGCCTATACCGATAATTTTAGGCCAATACAAGCACTGTACTCTTCCAATATTTATAAAAATAACTATACTAAATTTAACATTAATAATTAGTATCTATTAATACATGATAGAACAAAGACCTTGCTGACATCACTGGCATACTATATACAAAGCCCCTGGTTATGCACATTTTGGACAAATTAGGTTAAACTTTTTTCCCCACAATGCAACAGTTGGCTAACACCCATTGTTAAGTGAACAGGGCAGCAGGTACAAGGAAACATGCCCAACATTTTCACCTGTGATAGGTTAATAACAAGCACTGTATATTTAACAGCTACAGAAGAAAAACTGAAGTTAAGCAACTTTATTTTAAAAGTTAATCTGTTCCTGTGAGGAAAGGAGATGTTCCCTCCAATACTTAATGTCACTTTTGAAGGAGAAGGGATGAACTCTTACTGCTAGGTTTGCCCGAGATAACAGAACTATCTTATTTTCTTTCTATCTAGCCAATTTCCTCCTTTAGGAAATGATATTGCCATATATTTGTGTGTGTGATGACACTAATATCAGCACATTTAATTTTGAATGCTGCTTGTTTGTAATTTCGAAAAGGATCAAGGTTTATTAACCCTTTGACTGTTGCAACCCCCATTCCTGAAGTGTCTACCTGGTGTCACAAAATTTAAAAAAAAAAAAATTATTTTTTCTTATGAAATGATAGAGAATCTTTTCCCGATTATAATGACACCAAAAAAACGAAATTTGATGGAAAACTGACGGAATTATGCTCTCGTGAAGTTAGCGACCTTGGCGCTGTTTATAAATCGGCGATTTCGCCCACTTTGAACCCTATTTTCGGCTAATTCCATTGTTCCAGTCGCCCAAACTCATAGCTATTTCTTTAGAACTCCATTTTTTCTATCGACTGAGTACAAGAAACTGCCCATTTACCGATTTCAACTACCTAATAATGTGGTCAGAAATTTGCAATTTGGCCAATTTCACGAAAACTAAAAAATGTGAATTTCAAAATAAGGTCCAGAATGAACAATGCAGACATTCCTGGCTCTAAAATAACATTTTCTTTGCGCATCAGTCATGTCTCCAGGCCCCTCTGATATTACTCTTCCATTTATTTTGAATTTTTTTTTTCAAACAAAAAATTGAAGACTTACTATTATGCAGACTACTGCAATACTGTAATAATTGTATAAATAACATCAACCCATTCATGACTGCATATTAGAATGGCTAGTTGGACATTTATTGGACAATGGCATCATTTGTTTACTTTTGAACATTGGCAAAAATCAAACATTTCCCCTACTTTGAGCTCCATTTCTAGGTTCCTTTTATAGTAAAATCAATCAAAATCACCTCTATTTCTATAATATGTTTTCCATTCTATCAAATGAGACCAAGAAAACGAGAATACAACCATAAATACTATATGAAAATAGACCATAAAGTCGGCATTTTAATTTAAAAAAAAAAAAAAAAAAACACAGTCGGAGTTTTTTTTTCTCAATTATGCACTGCGTGCTCCAGGATTTTTTTTATATGGTGCACAATGACCACACAGACCCATTCTCTCACATGTGGGCCTACCAGCTTTCTCCTGCTTAATTTGAAGCCGCTAGAATTTATGAGTATCTATACGTCAAACACGGTACCTCGTAAGACTTATATATACGGCCGCGACAGACAAAGGGTTAATAATATTAATAATTATAATTATAATTATAATTAAATTATAATTATAATAATAATAATAATTAATAATTCTAATAATAATTATAATAATTCTAATAATTCTATAATAATTATAATAATTCTAATAATTAATTATAATAATATTAATAATAATTATAATAATTATAATAATTATAATAATTATAATAATAATTATAAATAATTATAATAATAATTATAATAATTATAATAATAATTATAATAATTATAATAATAATTATAATAATTATAATAATAATTATAATAATTATATAATTATAATAATTATAATAATTATAATAATTATAATAATAATTTATTAATTAATATAATATTATAAATAATTTATAATAATTATAATAATTTATAATAATAATTATAATAATATATATAATAATATATAATATAATAATTATAATAATTATAATATATAATAATTATTAATAATTATAATAATTAATTATATAAATAATAATAATTATAATAATTATAATAATAATTATAATATAATTTAATAATAATTATAATAATAATTAATAATAATATATAATAATAATATATAATAATTATAATAATAATTATAATAATTTATAATAATAATTATAATAATAAATTATAAATTAATAATATATAATAATTATAATAATAATTATAATAATTATATAAAATAATAATTATAATAAATATAATAATAATTAAATAATAAATTATAATAATAATTATAAATAATTATAATAATATATAATTAATATAATAATTATAATAATTATAATAATAATTAAATAATAATTATAATAATTATAATAATAATTATAATATATATAATAATTATAATAATTTATAATAATAATTAAATAATTATAATAATAATTATAATAATTATATTATAATAATTTATAATAATTATAATAATAATTAAAAATATATAATAATTATAAAATTATAATAATAATATAATATATATAATATAATTATAATAATAATTATAATAATATATAATAATTATAATATTATTATAATAATAATTATAATATATAATAATTATAATATATAATAATAAATTATAATAATAATTATAATAATTAAATAATAATTATAATAATTATAATAAATTATAATAATAATTATAATAATAATAATATAATATTATAATAATAATAATTATAATTATAATAATTATAATAATTATAATAATAATTATAATAATTATAATTAAAAATTAATTATAATAATTATAATAATAATTATAATATTATAATAAATTATAATAATTATAATAATAATTAATAATTAAATTATAATTTAATATATTATAATAATTATAATTAAATAATTTATATAAAATAATATAATAATTATAATAATAATTATAATTAAAAATAATTAATAATTATAATAATAATAATTATAATATATTATAATTAAAATAATAATTATAAATAATATAAATATTATATATTTTATATTATTATAATTATAATTATTATAATTTATATATTATAATATATTATTATAATAAATATAATAATAATTAAATAATATTATAATTATAATTTATAATTATATATAATTATAATTATTATTAATAATATTATAATTAAATATAATAATTATTAATACTTATAATTATAATAATAATAAATATAATAATATAATTAAAATATAAAAAATTATTAAATTACTAATACATATTACTCAATCAATACTATATACAATTATATTAAATATACAAAATTTTAATTAATAAATATAATTATTTAATTATTATTTCAAATTATTAAATTATTATCAAATTATTCATTAATATTATAATTATTTTCATCAATAATATTATAAATATTATAATAAATCATAACAAATTATTAAAAATCTATAATTACTCAAATTTTAACATTAATATAATACCAAATTACAATTTTTACCAACAATTCACATCCATTGGTTATTGTTAGCCAAATCATAGATGAAATAAAGCTAACTATTTATAGCGATTTATTTTTTTTATTCATTGTAAGAGTTATTTTAAGCTGAATGTCCCCATTTTCATTGAATTACTGTTTTTTCAGTCTAATTTTACTGAGAGTTTTGCCCGGGTCAACGGGAACGTTCTGGTAGATTTAGTCTCCTGGTCAGAAGCTTGTAACCGCTGTTATGCTGGCTGCACGCAATCCAACGTACGTGCCACAGCCCGGCTGGCCAGGTACCGACTTTAGGTGTTTGTCCAGTGCCAGCTTGAAGACAGCCAGGGGCCTATTGGTAATCCCCCTTATGTATGCTGGGAGGCAGTTGAACAGTCTCGGGCCCCGAAAATTATTGTATTGTCTCTTAACGTGCTAGTGACACCCCTGCTTTTCATTGGGGGGATGTTGCATCGTCTGCTGAGTCTTTTGCTTTTGTTGCGAGTGATTTTCGCGTGCAAGTTCGGTACTAGTCCCTCTAGGATTTTCCAGGTGTATATAATCATGTATCTCTCCTGCCTGCATTCCAGGGAGTACATTATTATTATTATAATCAAAAAGAAGCGCTAAGCCACAAGGGCTATACAGCTCCAGGGAGTACAGGTTCAGGAAATTCAAGCGCTCCCAGTAATTGGGGCATTTTATCTCCATTATGCGTGCCTAAAAGGTTCTCTGTACATTTTCCCTGGGTCAAGCAATTTCACCTCCTTGAAAGGGGGCTGTTAGTGTGCAGCAATATTCCAGCCTAGATAGAACAAGCGACCTGAAGAGTGTCATCATGGGCTTGGCATCCCTAGTTTTGAAGGTTCTCATTATCCATCCTGTCATTTTTTTAGTAGATGCGATTGATACAATGTTATGGTCCTTGAAGGTGAGATCCCCCGACATGATCACTCCCGGGTCTTTGACGTTGGTTTTTCACTCTAGTTTGTGGAAGGAATTTGTTTTATACTCTGAAGAAGTTTTAATTTCCTCACGTTTACCATATCGGAGTAATTGAAATTTCTCATCGTTGTTTTCTGCAACCCACTGAAAGATTTGGTTGATGTCCACCTGAAGTCTTGCAGTGTCTGCAATGGAAGGCACTTGTGCTGATTCGGGTGTCATCTGCAAAGGAAGGCATGGTGCTGTGGCTTACATCCCTGTCAGTCAGATTTGAGGACGAGGAATAAGATGGGAGCAAGAACTGTGCCTTGCGGAACAGAGCTTTTCACCGTAGCCGCCTCAGACTTCACTCTGTTGACTACTACTTTGTGTTCTATTGTCGGGAATTATAGATCCATCTACCAACTTTTTCTGTTATTTCTTTAGCACGCATTTTGTGCGCTATTAAGCCATGGTCACACTTGTCGAAGGCTTTTGCAAGGTGTATATATTACATGCGCATTCTGTCTTCTAGCGCATCTAAGACCTTGTCGTAGTGATCCAGTAGTTGGGACAGACAGGAGCGACCTGCTCTAAACCCATGCTGCCCTGGGTTGTGTAATTGATGGGTATCTAGATAGGTGGCAATCTTGCTTCTTAGGACCCTTTCAAAGATTTTTAATGATATGCGATGTGAGAGCTATCAGTCTGTAGTTCTTCGCTATTGCTTTACTGCCCCCTTTCTGGAGTGGGGCTATGTCTGTGGGACGACCCTAGTGTCCATGCTCCCTCTCCATAGGATGTTAAAAGCACGTGATAGGGGCTTCTTGCAGTTCTTGACGAACACCGAGTTCCACGAGTCTGGTCCTGGGGCAGAGTGCATGGGCAGGTCATTTATCGTCTGTTTGAAGTCATTTGGAGTCAGGATAATGTCAGATAGGCTTGTGTACCAAATTCTGTGGCTCTCATAGAAACTTTTTAGATCTTCAACTCAGTCTGGTTAGTGGCTTGCTAAAAACCAAGTCATATTGGGACTTGAGTAGCTCACTCATTTCCTTGCTGTCATCTGTGTAGGACCCATCTTGTTTAAGTAGGGGCCCAATACTGGATGTTGTTCTCGACTTTGATTTGGCATAAGAAAAGAAATACTTTGGGTTTCTTTCGATTTCATGGCTTTTAGTTCTTCCTGCGATTCCCGACTCCTATAATATTCCTTTAGCTTTAGTTCAATGTTTGCGATGTTAGTATTTTTTTTTGTGGTCAAGTGATGCAACTACAATCTAGTTTACAATGACAGTTTATACTGTGCTATTGAAACTAGAATTTCATCACTCAAAAGCTTTGTTCAGGTACTATACACAAGGTACATGCTGGCCATCTCCGACCAAGGCAGGGAGACTCGAAAAAGAATCCTTCCCCATCATTTATACTATCACTGTTTTGCCAGAGATGCACAGATACAAGATACAAGGTGTGCATTATCTAGTACATTGCAACGGCTTTTTGGTTCACAGGGGCACTCAAAACATTCTGAGCAAGCTTGTGTTTTGGCATTTCATTTTATTAGAGCCTCTAGTTTACTGCAAGCTAGAGGAGAGTGAAGTGGCTCACTATATGATACCAGTTAGCAATGTCTATTCTCTCTTCCAGAATACAATCACTGTAGGGTATTGTGGGAGCCAGAAAATGCTGTTTTATTATTACTGAACAAACCTTTATATCTAGGTAAGTATTACTTTTAATTTTACTCTTGTTATTTCACTTTTAAAAATAAAGAATTTTTTGGTTACCTGGAGGTTATTCCGGGGATCAACGTCCCCGCGGCCCGGTCCATGACCAGGAATCCCGATGGATCAGGGCCTGATCAACTAGGCTGTTGCTACTGGCTGCATGCAGTCCAACGTACGAGTCAGTGCCGGCTGATCCGGCACTGACTTTAGGTATCTGTCCAGCTCTCTCTTGAAGGCAGCCAGGGGTTTATTGGCAATTCCCCTAATGCTTGATGGGAGGCTGTTGAACAGTCTTGGGCCCAAGACACTTATGGTGTTTTCCCTTAGTAATTATATTTTTCAAAACTGCTAGCACTGAGGGCACATTTATTTTAGACCCTTTGGCAGTTTGATGGGTCAAAGTTGATAGTTATATATTCCACTAGCACACCAATCCAGTATGCATACTTAAATTCCTACAACTTACCAAAGTCTATGTACTACATACACTCATATCCTACACACCTTAATCTTTACATTTGAAGTAGGGTAACCTTAGAAGAGATTTTGTTGAGATTTTTAACCCTGCAGGGTTAGCCACCCAGGATAACCCCAGAAAGTCAGTCATAGAGGACTAACATTTCCATTGGGGCCCTTTAATCTTGTCCCACCCCCCCAGGATGCGACCCACAAATTAGGCCAAATCAAAATCTAGAATAATGTTGGCAACATCTAACTCTTCAGAAGCCAAATAAAATATGCTGAGGAGCAAAATGCTGCCACAATAAAATGTCACGGTTGGACAAGTGTCCTTTAACCTATCAAAAGACAACGTTAGAAATATTTAAGGGAGACACTCACAGATATTGGAATATTTTATTATCAGACAGCAGCCTCAGTGACAAAATATCAAAGAGCTATCCAACAAAATTTAGATGTAAGTTATGTTTGTGACTGACAAGAATTTTATTAAATTTATACAAGGGGGGATACTATCAGTAGGAAAATACCGGAAACTTCTACCTCGACTTTGTAAGATCAAGTGAGATCAGACATTTTCTTGTAGACACGGTTTAGTTTATTTTTTCTGTTTCTTGCATTATTTCTAATATTCACCTCATTCTCTAGTGCAGGTTCTCTTGTGTTCAAGTCCAGGGTATATCATGAATTATTATAATCAAGGGGAAGCGCTAAACCCGGAGGATTATACAGCGCCTGGGGGATGTGGAAGGCATTCAGGCTTAATTCGGGGAACTGGAGCACAGATCCAATTCCCTAAATCAAGAGCCCCTCACCAACATCAAGGAACCTTCCTTGAGGGGGGTATGTCATGAAGTCTTTGAATTCCAGACATAAATGGTTGTCATGGAAGGAAACCCAACACTTGATTATCGATATTTAATCACGTCAACCAAACATTATTTCTGCCTATTACACAAATATTTTGAATTGCGATGAATAAAATCAACCAGATTAGTATTCAGTGTTACATATAATTTCACACATGAAGTACATTATATTAATACATTACAACTTACCTTGCTGGGAGAGCTCAGCATCATGCCAACCACAGAATTTATTCAGCTTGTTCCACTCACTCTCCCCATGACGGACCATCACAATCTGGTATTTCACCATGCTGAGGAAGTGCCTGGCACTGAGAGCCACTGAGCAGGATAACCGGTAGGAGGAGAGTCAGCCGGTGTAGTGGTGGTGAGAATAAGCCGGCTACTGCTGGTGTCCTCGTCCCCCGGGTGTCCGCTGCGACCTTCAGCGTCCCTCACTCACACCCTGCCACACCTCGCATTATCTAGGACATTCCCTTTGTAATTCTCACTTATTATACTTTGATTCTACTTCTAGAGCAGTGGAAATATTTATATTATTTTTTTGCACGACGAACACAGCTTTTTTTTTCCTATATTAAAGCTAAGTTTATTTAGGCAAAAAATATATGACTGGCATCAGGTGTCTCGGAAGTATGCAAGACACTATTGCATACCTTCTGACGTCAATATTTCTAGATTACTTAATATATTTCGTCAATTTAACAGTTACCTGATGTCAATACAGAATTCCTAATAGTAGGAATAATTCTGAATGACTAGATTATATGTAATTAAACAGTTAGATATTTATTAATGACGTGAGTTTTCATCTCTTCCTAAACCTGTCAAAATTTACCAGTATATTCATAAGGAAAGATTAAATCCACAAAGGTCATAGTATGCTCGAGGAACAGGACGCAATCAAATTGGATTCAAAGAAAAGAGTAGCTGCCAATCATTGGATCAAGAGCCCTCCAGCATCAAATGGCACCTCCCTTAAAGGGAGTGTACAAGCGAATTGCAATATGCCAGCACTAACAATATATTAGCCCAGCAGCGCCCCAGGTGAATGTGAGTGCATAATATATAAATTACATGCAAATATGTAGACCTATCTGCATATGTGGGTGATATATATGTCCCCGATTAATCAATCAGTTCCTCTAAGTATTTTGTATGATGTTATCATGTCTCCCCTGGAACCAGTCCTCCAACGATTTTACATTCAATTCCGTTAGCTTCTCATAGCACAAACCCCCTTAGTTCTAGAACTAGTGTCATTGTATAATTATTCACTTTCTACATTTTTTTTAGTAAGAAATAAGTCACTGACTTTTTTTTGGGTTATCCTAGGTTCTTTTACCTACTTAAGAACATAAGGACGAAGGAACACTGCAGCAGGCGTAATTACTGGCCCATGCTAGGCAGGTCCAATTTACACCCAATTATGTACCCGTCTAACTTACACATGACGCTACCCGGAGTTTGTTCCACTCATCTACAACGCTATTGCCAGACTACGCTGTCGAGTACCAGAAAATCTTTTACTTAAACTATACAATTTGACATGTGTACCTGGGGAGCTCCCTAAATAATGGACCAACAGCTTCATCATTCACGTTCCGAAACCCAGTCAGCAAAATGCATGTTGCCCAATCTCTCATTAGCTGCTTGTCAACCTTTGATAGGATGATTCTAAATAGTCTCATTCATAGAATCCAACAAATTCTGTCTCCCTGGTTGTATAGTTTCATGCAAGGAATAAGTGTGCATCGTTGCACGCAGTAACCACATTTTTCACCCTGCATATTATTATTATTATAAAGGGAAAGCGTTAAACCCGTAGGATTATACAGCGCCTGTAGGGGGATGTGGAGGGTATTCAGGTTTAATTCAGGGAACTTAAGCACAGATCCAATTCCCTAGATGAAGAGCCCCTCACCAGCGTCAAGGTCTCGCCCTGCATAGTGACAGCTCCCACACTACCTTTCTTGACCTTAAATCTGCCTTTGATATATTATTATTATTATAATCAAAAAGAAGCGCTAAGCCACAAGGGCTATACAGCGCTGCTGCCTTTGATATAGCTAACAAATATGTAATCATCAGTGAACTCGTCAGGATGGATGCCAGAGGATAGCATCTCCGCTGCATTAAAGGTTACCTATCCAACAAAGTCTTATGTTGTTAACTTTGAATTAAGAACACTCCAGGGAGGTGTCTCCAGTCCCGTCTTATTCAATATTCTATCTGAGGTGTTCTCAGTCCCACCTTATTCAATATTCTAATTAATGCTTTAATAATAACTATGCCTAGCCATTATTATTATTATAATCAAGGGGGAAGCGCTAAACCCGGAGGATTATACAGCGCCTGGGGAGGATGTGGAAGGCATTCAGGCTTAATTCAGGGAACTGGAGCACAGATCCAATTCCCTAAATCAAGAGCCCCTCACCAACATCAAGGAACCTTCCTTGAGGGGTATGCCTAGCCAGCCTTGCCATTATATAATTAGCTTTGCTGATATAATGATTTACAGTTTACACCACCGGACTCTCAAACACCCAGAATATCCTTAACCATGCAATAGCCTCGTGTTAGGACCTGGGGTTGATCATCTTGGCTGAGAAAACAGATATTTATCAGACGTCTTCGACAGAGGCGCAATCCGCACGATCCAGTTACATGATAGATCTCGACATGAATATGTAACCAGATACAAGCATCTAGATTCTAGACCTTGAAATCTCAATACTTACCTTGGCTTGTGACAAGACTTTGTTAACAATACAAAGGCTAAGAGCACTGAGCTGTATTATTATAATTATGGGGAAGCGCTAAACCCGTAGGATTACACAGCGCCTGTGGCGAGAGGGGGATGGAAGGTATTTAGGCTTAATTCGGGGAACTGGAGCACATTCAAATTTCCCTAGGATCAAGGCCTTTAACCAACGTCAAGGAACCTATGAGGGGTCCTGTTCAGAAGTAGTGTTTATATATGTAGAATGTATGTACTCTTAGGTGTATAACATAATCCAACTTTTCCGTTTTTTCTTACATGTAATTTTTGTAGCCCTGCTGTGTGATGATGAGGATATCTTTGAAAGATTCAGTTCTGCTGAAAAAAAATAATGAAGTTAACTGTGGCAGATAAATGCAATTACCACAGGTGAGGCTATCAATTTTACCTGTTCCTCATGCAAGCTCTGTCGGGGGAGGAAGACTCACTCGACCTTTATCGTAACATCGTAGTGTGTTCAGGTGTCCGTGACTTCATGCTTGGGATAAATGGGGAAACTTCGAACTGTGTAAATACTATATCTACTCCAGCTTAAAATTTGTCAGCGTTGGTTTAGCCCAGCGGCACTCAAGCTATATGTAAATGTATACTGTACAAATTATACGTAAATATTTAGGATCACATCAAGCGCTAAACCCATAAGGGTCATGCAGCTCTGTGGGAAGGGATGTGTGAAAGTAGAAATGTGCCAAAGTTTAGTGAGCAAGAGGTAGGGGGTGTATGGTTACCGGTTAGTTGGTGGGGGGGGGGGGGGGAGGAGGAGGATTAAAATAAAAGTGAAGGCAAAGTTGGTGTAATAGGTTAGTCAACTAGGTCAATAAGAGTGTATTAGGGTAGTTCAGACGTGGGTAGTAGATCCTGCGTGCACTCACAGGAACATTCAGTATTATCACGGGGAGCACTAAACCCGTAGGATTATACAGCATGTGGGGGGATGGAAGGTATTCAGGCTCAATCCAGGAATTATTATGATCAAAAAGAAGCGCTAAGCCACAAGTCAATCCAGGAAACCAGAGCACAGATCCAACTCCCTAGATCAAGAGCCCCTCACCAGCATCAAGTAAACTTCCTTGAAGGTGCCATAGGCAAGACAGTATTAAGGTATGTCGTACAATGAGACTTCACGATGGTGCTGGTCGTTTCTAGTGTGGTATCCGAGATTGAGTCTCACACATGTATGTCCAATACGGGAGCGAGTAATCTCCCAAACAATTTGCTGTCGTCCAATGAAGACCAACGTTGTTGCCAGCGGTTGTGGTGGTGGTGAGAGACCACTGATATACTGAAAAATAGCTAGAGTAAGGAATACACTTAAGGGAAATCTGGAGGTCTTGAATAGCTGACACCCTCAGAAACCAAAAACAGAACATATGAAGATAATGAAAAATTACACCAAATTAATGGGAGAGCACTAACCCATGGGGGTCATAGTCCCTCAGGGAATGGAAGGCATTTGATTCAAGGAATTGGAGCATTGGTCCAATATCATAGATCAAGAGACCCTAGCCAATTAATTCAAGGAACCTTTGAGGGGGGGAGGGATACATTATAATAAAAAAAGAACCGCTAAGCCACGAGGGCTATACAGCGCTGCAGGGTAGGAAGCGAGGCAGGTGGCAGAAGGGAGATGGAAGAGTAATAGGTTACGGAGAACAGCGGGGCAGTGGATGGTGAAAGGGTAGAGGACAGCAAGAGATTGATTCAGAGTTTGTGGATAAATTGTCAAGAAGTCAATGAGTCAGGATTAAAGGAGGGTCCATCAGCAAGAAGGGAAGGTAAAGAGAGTATTAGAGCGGAGACGACGTTGGTTGGAGGTCAATTCTGTGTGCTCGTTGATAGAGGGCAGTCTAACAGAATGTGGCTAATCGATACTGGAACTTAGACACTGCTCAGAGGAACAGGGTGCTTCTCCATGAGATACCCATGAGTAAGAAGAGTGTGGCCAATGCGAAGCCTGGAGAGAGTAGTCTCATAAGGGACCCAACAAAAAACCATACATGTATCTTTATGCTTGGTAGAGATATGGCGTAGCCAAAGTTGGATACAGAGAACTAGGGGGTGACCTACCTTCGCACTTCTGAGAAGGAATTCACAATGGGTATAATTTTATTGCAGCGCTGTATGGCCCTGGTGGCTTAGTGTAGTTTGCTTAAAATGAAGTGCTAAATAGGCTGAGAAAGCCAAGGGAGCAAATGGATTTGTCAATTTAAAATTCTGGCATGAAAGTGCACTTTAAAATGTCAAAAATTTAACCTGTATGCTACTACTATTGATAATAAGGCCTTGGCCATTCAACACAACAAACATAAGGGGGCAAAATGCAATATGTATTTTGCACTTTCATTAGGTCATGTACATACAGGATAAAGGATTCAAGAAAATACATAATCTAATACTTATGTTTATTCACAAAAATTCCAAACAGCATACAAAAGCACAGGCTCAGCAGTGGTAGCAGATTCACACACCTATTTTCAAAAGCAAGATTAATACAAATACTAGCAAAACACTTTCTTTTCTTTTTATTATCAATCAGTTTAACCAATTCATCAAAAATTCAGGAGAACGAAAGTATTCACTATCATCACTTAACACAATATTTACACATTACTTAACATGCTTTTAGGACAACAGAGGCTTACCCTATTGTTTGTGAATCTTCTCTTGCCACAAAGCAGCACTGCCTATTAGAGCCTGGGGAAAATTTGTAAATTAATGTTTCCAATAGAACAAATTTCCTATCAGTCTACATGACTACTAACAAATTACAATATATGCATCCAATGACTCACGAAATCGTAATGACACGATTGCAAACAAACCATACCACGGGCGGGATTTGAACACACTGTCAGAGTCTCAAAACTCCAGACCGCCAAGTTAGCTACTGGTCCAGTGGCTAATGGGACGGTCTGGAGTTTTGAGACTCTCTGACCGCGGGTTCAAGTCCCACCCGTGGTATGGTTCATATGCATGCAATGACCGCTTGTAGGTATACCCTTCTAGTACTGGGTAGCCCCCCCCCTCCCTCCAGAACCTGAATTCTGCATGGCATGGATTTAATCCAAGGTGTTGGTCCGTGTTGATATGATAGCACCATGCAGTTGTTTCAGATTTGTTGGCTGTGCAAGGATTATTATTATAATCAAAAAGAAGCACTAAGCCACAAGGGCTATACAGCCCTGCAGGGCAGGAAGGAAGCGAGGGCATCAGGTGGCAAAAGGGAGGTGGATGAGTAATAGGTTACGGATAACAGCGGAGCATTGGATGGTGAAAGGGTTAAAGGGCAGCAAGAGACTGAGCTAGAAAAGGCTGAGGGGAGTGCATAAGCTATCATCAAAGTTTGTGGAGTAAATCAGTCGTTGTCAAGAAGTCAATGAGAGAGTCAGGGTTAAAGGAGGGTCCATCAGCAAGAAGGGAAGGTAAAGAGAGAGTAGTAGAACAAAGACAGCGTTGGAGGTAAATTCTGCGTGCTGTTGATGAAAGGGCAGTAACAGAATGTGGGTAATCGATCGGAACTTGACACTGCTCACGAGAGGTTCAGGGTTGCTCTCCATGAGATACCGTGAGTAAGAGAGGGGTGGTCCAATGCGAAGAACGGGAGAGTGGTCTCCAACCACGGCATGATGACAAGAAGACGGCAGTAACCTATGCTGCGGTTTAATAGAATGAAGTTTGGTTACAAGCAGAGTTGACCAACGTTGGTGCCAGGGGCGTGAAGGGTGGGTAGTTATGCAGCAAAATAGTCCTGAAATGTAACACCCGAGAAATTGGTAGGTCATGTACTGCTGACCGACAGTATCTGCTGTTCATTGCCCAGTACACGACATGACCAGGGACCCAACAAAAAATAAATCTTTATGCTTAGTAGAGTACGGCGCAGCCAAAGTTGGATACGGAGAGACTAGGGGGAGATTTTATCAAATTATCGTATAGCCTGTAGAGATAAGGGAGTCTGAGACTCCACAAATGATGACACAGGCATAGATGCGTACGAAAAAGTGCTGCAAGAATGGCATACAATTCAGTATAATAAAATGCTAGCCGAAGATAGTAAAGCCCCAGCGCGACGCGGGTCACGGAAACACTGCTGGGGAATCCGAGACGTCTGAAACTTAGAGCCATCTGTGTACACAGCGTTGGCATGAGAATGGGAGTGGAAGTGTCAAGAAAAAGAGCAGGTAGCACATTGGCAGTTTGAGCTTGCGAGCACGGGAGTGAGAAAGAACAGACTCCGAACAGCTGGGAACTTCCAGGGGGGTAGGAAAAGTGAGTTTTGGTACATGAACATATAAAGATGGTACATAAAAAGGGAAGACAAGAGTGAATGTTGGGCGAAGAGAAAAGGACGGAGCAAACAGGGGGCGGCGGACGAATAAAAAATGCTACTAATATTGGTGACCTTTGAAAATGGAAGGATTGTGGAGATTGTGAGAGCGTACATAGTAGAAAGGCAATGGGCATCACGGCGATCAGACAAAGGATGAACATTGTTCTGTATAGGGCCCTCTAGAGGCTCTCAAAGGGGGAAGTGCGAAAAGCACCAAGGCACAAATGTAATCTTGGTGATGGATAGGTTAAGGCTAGATAGAGTAGCAGGAGAGGCTGCGAATAAATCTGGTCACCATAATCGAGTTTTGATAAAACGAGGGCTGAATGTGGGCGAAGCAGAGTCGACGATAAAGCCCCCAGGAAAGATGACAAGGGTTTTTAAGAAGGTTTAGCCGGCTGTGACAAGTTGCATTCAGAGAGGTAATGCGAAGGTTTCAGGATAACCTACAGTCAAAGAGAAGGCCTAGAAACCTGACTATCACGTTCGGGGATACGGGAGCCATAGAGATACAAAGGATGATCGGAGATGACAGAGCGTCTAGTGAAAGTAATTTGGCGAGTTTTGGTACTTGAAAATTTAAACCCATGCGTGGTGGCCCAAGTGGAAACACGGTCGACCGCATGCGGGGAGAGAAACTGCAATGAGATGACAGTCAGCGCCTGCACAAGCAATAGCGAAGTCATCAACATAAGAGTGATGACCAAATATTGGGTGGAAGAACAGAGGCCAAATCATTTATAGCAAGGAGAAAAAGTGTTGTGCTCAGAACACATCCCTGAGGGACACCTTCAGCTTGGACGAAGTCCGGGGAAAGAACATTATTGACTCGAACACGGAAATGCCTGTCAGTTAAAAAGTTCTTAAGGAAGGATGGTAGATTGCCTCGGAGGCCTAAGGAGTGGGCCTGGGCCAAAATATTATACCTCCAAGTTGTGTCATATGCCTTCTCAAGGTCAAAAAATATGGCAATAACCGAGTGATTATTCGCAAAGGCATTACGAACATACGTATCCAAGCGTAGTAAGGGGTCTATGGTAGAACAGCCCTTATGAAAGCCATATTGACTAGCGGAGAGACTGTTGGAGAGACTGTTGCGTGTCTCTAAATACCACATTAAACGTCGATTTACGAGACATTCCATCACTTTGCAAATTGCACTAGTAAGAGCGATGGGGCGATAGTGGGAGGCATCATGTCCTGTAGTACCCGGTTTGCGGAAAGGGTGAACAATGGCAGATTTCCACAGCTGGGGAAGAACTCCTTGTGCCCAAATAAGATTGAAGAGGTGTAAGAGGACTACAAGGGCTGACCGATGTAAATGTTGTAACATACGAATATGAATGTCGTCAGGCCCAGCTGCCGATGATCAGCAAGCTGAGAGCGTTGCCTCCAGTTCTTGAAGTGTAAAAGGCACATTTATACTGTTCTTCTCTGAGAGAGAAAAAGTCCAAGGGTACTAACTCTCTGGCAGACTTTGAGGAAAGAAATGAGGGGCATAGATGGAGCCCTCGGGAAATACGGACCAGATGTGTGCAAGTTCAATGGCAACGTCAAGAGGGTTTGCTACATCAACACCAGCGACCCGTTTAGAACAGGAGCCGGGTCAGGAGAGTATTTACCACTCAATTTCCTCACTTTTTTCCAGACTGCACTTATAGAAGAAGCAGAGGTGATGGTGGAAACAGTCTCGCCAACAAGTGCGTTTAGCTTCACGGATGACACGGCGAGCGATCGCACGCTTCTGTTTAAAATCAAGAAGTCTCTCAGCGGTTCTATTGTACCGGTACCTGCCCCATGCAGCGCGTTTCAAACGTACTGCACGAGCACAAGCAGGAGACCACCAAGGCACGCACTTCTGAGAATGCCTGCCTGAGGTTTGGGGTATAGAATGAGAAGCTGCGGTAGAAGTTGACAGTACGGAATATCATTGCGTAGAAGAAGGGCACTTTCATTAAAGGTCCCATCTAAGAAAGGATCCGAGGAATACAATAAATTATAGCCCGAGATAGGTTGGAAAACAGCCTAGTGTAATTTTGGTTCTTGTAAGCAAGCACCAACAGGGGAAAACCTGGAAAGCAACATCTGAAGCTCACCCCGATTACCCCTGAGGCTGCGGATATTCCACTGTAAATAGACCATGACTGGCGATGAAGAAAATACCAGGAATCCGTAGGGAAAGGCACCTACGGACTAGAGGGGTTAGAAAAGTCAACGTGTGGTGGCATTGGAAGACGTTCAAGCAGCGAAGGAACGGAGCGTTGCGAAGATGGAGGAGAGGGAAGAGAAGGAACAGGAAATGAATCAGTGTCCATTGAAGGTTTAGTCTCTGCAATATATTCTGAAATGGCTTCAAGTGTTTCTGAATTCAAAGATGTATGGGAGACCATATTGGAGATAGAAGTGGGAGGGTGAGTAAAGATTGGGACAGTAATAGACTGTACCAAAGTAGAGGGGGAGGAAAGAGTGTAAGGGACTGGAGATGAAAGTGTGTGTGTGGGGGGGGGGGGGGCAGAAGAGGCAGAAACCTGGGAGGGAACGGGGGTGGAAGGCATAGTACGAGGAGGAGGAGGGTGAATCTCCACACTTGTAATAGAGCCAGAGAGAGGGGAAGAACTAGGCACTGAGACTGGAAAGGTAAAGTGTGGAGGTGGAAGAAGGGAAGGAAGGGGCAAAGAAGATTTGAGCAATGTGGATTTTTTGGACTTCTGAGAAGTAGAGGGGCGATTGGTATTAGGTGTCGTACGAGGTCTTGTCGATACTGGGGCTTGTGAGGAAGGACGCGAAGATGTGAGAACAGACTGAGTTGTAGTCGGGACGTCAGAGCCAAGGACAGCAAAAGGATTAGATGCCGGAGTGGCTATGGGAGGGGTAACAACAGAGGAAGCTGCAGAAGATGGGACCCCAGAAGCGGGGGGGGGGATGTTTTGAAACACGAGAATAAGAAACACAGGGTAGTCTCCCTTGGAGGCGGAGATAGAGTAACTGCCATAGCATAAGGGAGACCTTCTGCCTCTTGGAGGCAACGGATTTCATGTTCATTTAAGTAGACCTGGCAACGGCGGGAGTACGAAGGGTGAGCTTCATTACAATTAAGGCAAGATGGAGGTTGACTGCAAGATGTATACCCCTCAAGGAAGGTTCCTTGAGGTGAGGGGCTCTTGATTTAGGGAATTGGATCTGTGCTCCAGTTCCCTGAATTAAGCCTGAATGCCTTCCACACCCCCCCCAGGCGCTGTATAATCCTCTGGGTTTAGCGCTTCCCCCTTGATTATAATAATAATAATAATGCAAGATGTATTAGAATGGTCGTCGGCACCACAGACTGGGCATTCGGCCATAGCTCTGCAATATTTCGCTGGGTGACCAAAAGGCTAGCAATTTCTACACTGTTGCGGTGTAGGTATCACCTTTCGAACTTGTAACCGATGTCCCGCGACATATAGAGGACGGGAGTTCTTGGCTGTCAAAGTTAAACGAGCTACATTGCAAGGGTAACGTCTCCGCCCACGGGCAGGAAGGACATAAGTGTCTACTTTGAGGATTGGGAGATACTGGAGTTCCAGCTGTTCAAGAATGTCATTGCCATATGACTGGAAATTCCGTTGGACTATGGTATGGGGCAGAATGACAGTACCACTACAAGAATTGAGAGAAAGATGTTTTTCAATAGTGATAGTAGTATCTATATGCGAAAGGAGAGAAAGATCATGAGCTTGGGTAGCATTCTGGACAGTGACGATGCACGTATCGCTCTTGAGAGCATGAAATGAAATATCTCTACCAACATGACGCAGGAACGCTTTGCCAATACTATGGTCAGAAAGGTAGGCAAAAGAAGAAGTCTGTCTTAAAGTAAAGAATTTAGTCCATTGTGTGGTCCGAAACTGAGCGTGGAGAGGGAGTGCATGACGTGTTGGTCTTTTCCGAGTAGAATGGGAAGGTAACGAAGGAGCATCATCAGGAGATTGACGTTGGCATTTAGGAGTAGGACCGGAGCTGGTCCGGCGTGAAATGGGCGGGCGATTCAAAAATTGCCGTACCCGAGAGGGAGAAGCCGGAAGCATAGTCAAAGGAGAGCGGAGTTCAGACAAATCGAGTCAGTCGAAGCCCCGGTACCTGAAGCGGGTGAGGAAACAGCACCAGCAAGAGGTACAGGGGCATCAGAAGTGTCCAAAAACAAGGCAGGGTCAGAATGGGGTGTGGTATCAAGAAGGGGCCCAGGGGTAGTGGGTTCATGGATTGGGTTCTCCATGGTTAGGTTACTCCTTTGCTTTTTGTTTTTAAGAAAAAAAAATAAAAAAATAAAAAAAGGGGGGAGCGGGGAGGAATAGTTCCCAGGAGGAATGAAAGGGCCGGAAATCTCCCTCCACGCCCAAGAGGACCACAGCACCGCTAGTAGCGCAGATGCAGCATGGAACCCGTGCTATACCCTACCCTTCATGCCAGTAAACCAGCAATCCGGGATAGCAACCTCACATCTGCCGAGCTACCTCGGTGGACAAAAGAGAGGGTGGCCGGATATCCGCCACAAAGCATACCTCCTTCAGCCACCACCCCCGGAATCCGAAAGGTGGCCTCCAGAGATACACCCGTCGCCCGAAAGACACCCAAAGCTACTCCGGGGTACCGGAGAGGGATCGGGACATCCCCAGGTGATCCAGATTCCACGGCAAACTACGCCACCGCCAAGAACCTCAACGGAATGGGATGGACCCCGGTATCCTTTCCCCTACCTAGGAACTAGCGCGCCTGTGGGAGAAATCCCAAAGGCCAAAAAGAGGAAGGGCAAAAGGGAGGGGTGGGGAGGAGGAGGAGGAAAGGAAAAAAGAGGGGAGATTGGGGGATAATTAGGTTCGGTCTGAGGAAGAAGACAGACAGGTCTAATTCCTCAGACCAAGAGCCTCTTCACCATGCCAAGGAGCCCCCCTTGAAGAGGGGCTGTGCAAGGAGAGGTCCATGTTTACAGTAAATTGTAACCTTATCATGCATCACAGATCCTCAGCAAGAGGCAGGTCAGTCTCACTGCTTCCTCTATTTACTAAATGGAGGAACCCTACTAGCAAGAAACACTGACCTGTCTTCATATGCCTGGACCTTTCAACAAAGCATAGGACTGATCAAAATGGTGGCTTCAATGAAACTCCAGAAATTACAAGATTATGAAGATACCAGATATCAATTATAGGCTGAGGACAGACTGCAAACCTCACTTAAGACTCAAACAACCTTTGCAGTCAACTGCACATAACTGCTACTTATCAGCAGCAGTGGTATGAACCAGATTGCTACAAAGGAGGGAAAGGCAAGGTTGACTAGGATGGCTGAAATTTCCCTTAGTGTTGCCAGTTACTATTAGGCTATTTTAAAAATGTGAAAAATGCAAATGTCAAAATGAAGTGAACAGTTTAGTTTTAATAAACCTTTTATGTACACCTTACTAATAACTTACCATTCAAACTTCGGAAACCATACCAGAAATAGACCGAGACCTGAAATAAAAATTCTATTATTAATAATGTCAAATGAATCTTACTTAAAAAGGTACAACTAAAAAATATCAGAAGTAGCTAGTAGAGATCAAATATCTATCACAAACAAGTATATCATCATATCCAATAACAATGAAGCATAAATCTAAGTATGTATTATATGTGTTAACTTTATACCAACCTTCACTTCTAGTATAAAGCACCTATTTTATCACTGAAATAGTCAAATACCAGAATTAAACAAGAACTTGATATATAGCATGCATCCTAAGAAGTCTCGACTAGAAACCATTCCAGATATAATGGAGTACAGTGGGGCTCTGCTTTACGGCGTTTCGCCTTACGGTGTTCCATTAATATGGCAATTTCAAATTATGACCAAAATTTGCTATACGGCAAGCGGTCTTTCAAATACGGCACGCCCCACCCAGTTTGTTTACATTCTCCATGAGCACATCTATTATGTATGGAATTTTCCAAAATTTCAAGTTATTCTGCATTTTATTTTTTTTTTTTCAACAAGTCGGCTGTCTCCCACTGAGGCAGGGTGACCCAAAAAAAAAGAAAGAAAATCCCCAAAAAGAAAATACTTTCATCATCATTCAACACTTTCACCACACTCGCACATTATCACTGTTTTTGCAGAGGTGCTCAGAATACAACAGTTTAGAAGCACACACAAAGATACACAACATATCCCTCCAAACTGCAAATATCCCAAACCCCTCCTTTAAAGTGCAGGCATTGTACTTCCCATTTCCAGGACTCAAGTCCGACTATATGAAAATAACCGGTTTCCTGAATCCTTCACTAAATATTACCTGCTCACACTCCAACAGATCGTCAGGTCCCAATTACCATTCGTCTCCATTCACTCCTATCTAACACGCTCATGCACGCTTGCTGGAAGTCCAAGCCCCTTGCCCACAAAACCTCCTTTACCCCCTCTCCAACCCCTTTTGAGGATGACCCCTACCCCTCCTTCCTTACCCTATAGATTTATATGCTTTCCATGTCATTCTACTTTGATCCATTCTCTCTGATAATTATGCTTATGTGTATCTGTACCTAAATATACTTACACAATGTGCTGGCATGCAGGTACACATTAAAATCACTCTACTCACGACACCAAAGAAATACACAAATAACCCGCACATAAAAGAGAAGCTTACGACGACGTTTCGGTCCGACTTGGACCATTGACGAAGTCACACTGACTTTGTCAATGGTCCAAGTCGGACCGAAACGTCGCCGTAGGCTTCTCTCTTATGTGCGGGTTATTTGTGTATCGTTCCAGTCACGGTATTGTGCCTTTTTTGTTACCAAAGAAATACTACGTAATAATAATCTCTTTTGGGCACATTAAATGTCTTATTTTACGTTAATGTAAACAATTTTCATTAATCCATTTATGATGTTTTCTTCATAATTATACAAGAAACACATTACATATCATATAAAGATTATGCATACACCCAGAATAAAAATTTGACGAACACGAGATTTGTTTACGGAAGAATTACATTTTCTCTAGTCAAACACTGAGGGATAACTGTAGATAATATTCCTTTCTTATGCCTTCACTCTATATAGCAATTCATGACCCTTGTGGGTTTAGAGTTTCTTTTTTATTATGATAATAATAATTTGTAATAATTTGTCAGCATCATTCCTTCTAAAAATTACATGAGAATGGAAGTGTTGGTCTTTATTTATTCTACTGTACCACTGTGGAGACAACTTGTATACAAAGTAAGATCTTTGTATGAAGGTTTATGAACCATAACCATATGCATCGTCTGTTTGTTTACATAGTGGGTGGGGTGGCCAGGCTGGCTTCCCTATAGTACACTACCTACCACACCACTATCTACAAATACTTTTCACCCTACATTAAGACTACAAATATTTTAATTAGTAATGGGATT